TCTTTTCAGTTTCCCCTGTGGCCAGCCAGTCTGTTAACGCTTTGCTCGCGCAGCCGGCCAAGGGTGCAAGGATTGTTCACAGGTGGCTTCTGAAATTTGCTGGGGGTGCACTGCAGCGGGCATGAAGGTTGAAGCGGCTTGATCCCCACGTTGCAAAAAGAAACGAGCTGAGTACATTGACATTGACTGCTGTTTGATTTCTGACGGATTGACAGAATATACATTTACTTTGTTTTTGAATTATTCGTGATTTGAATATCATATTTGTGCAACTTGCGCCTAATAGATTTCACGGTTTGCGGAGCAAATAAGTTATTTGTTATGCTGTGTGTTTTCAATTGTGTAAGTTCACAAGGCCGCTTTTGGCTCAAGCGCTTGTGTTTTTACATTCTGTCGAGGTTTCAAACAACATGAGGATCGTCGTCAGTTAAAGACCATCAGACCATGTTTTAATTTGGTTTGTGTTTATCCGGTCCGGGCCCGTGACCAGCAGAGGCTAACCAATAAACTTCAGAAATTCCAGCGCGTGTGACAGTTTTGCCAGACGGGCCATGATGATAATGATGCTGGTTCCGATCGTCGCGAACGTTGCTTTGTTCGTCACCAGGGGTTGCACACGACACAATGACGTTGAACCACAATTTTTGGTTTTGGGAAGCGTCACATCACGCTATAAAAAAACAGATGATACCTTGTCTGCTTTTTCCGGTTAGCAGCACGCCATGGCAGCTGCTGAGTCCTTTAACAACGGAACCCCGCGCATTGAGCTTTGGTTGATATATGGTGAACCAGTCATGATGGTTGAAATTGCCGCGCTTGTTCTGAACATTTTCTGCACATGTAAATGTTAACTGTTAAAGCAACTGTCAGGCGAGTGGTTTGAGCTTATGTGATGGTTGGTTGTCGTGATATGCGCTCTATTTTCAGCCTGCATGTTGTTCTGCATTGCAAGGCATTGTTGGGACAGAAAGACGCCCTCAACTTTGCTTTGTACAAATTGGTCCAGGCTGGCTCTTGCATGTGCAAGAAGCAAACAGGGTTTTACGGAGATATTGTACGTCTTGAAGTGTTGTGTTGGGCGTTAGCACGTTTGTCAGCACCCTCATATTTTGCCAACAAAGGCAATGGACAATGTCCAAATAGCAGCCGCGACATCCATCCTCACATCCCAGTACATCGCCTATAGTTCGTCAACACGCAAAACACTGTGGGTCCGCCCTGCAGGCACGACGGTCTCGACCTATTGAGGCCGATTGTGTGTGATTTGCAATGCGTTGTTGCTTTGCTATTGCGAAAGAGACGTGGATTCTCCACAGTTGAATGGTTAATCATGGAGAGAGCCGGCAGCTTTAACAACTGTTGTAGTTGTGTGTGATGTTGCAGCTTTATGCTGTCAAGATGCAAGTTCAGTAATTGCAGTGCTGTTGCAAATTTGCTAGATTTCGCAAACTAAGATCAACTCAGTAGATGGGATATGAACCCAGTGCAATCCTTCTGGCATTCATCGTATTTATTTCCAAATTCTGTGGCTTGCAAAATTGTCTCCAAAATCGAACTGAGAGCCTGACAAACCCAAACCAAAAAGAAAGTGTAAACACACCTACATTCAAAAATCCCTTGCACTACATACGGCAGCTGCTGTGGTTTGTGCAGCCCGTACGACACAACTGTTTGGAATTCGTTAAAACCAAAGCTACATGAACATTCGCTCGAATCCTAATGCCTCAAGCCCTGAACTTTTTTGATGAATCCCAGCCAACCCCCGAATTCCTAGCCAACCCCCGAATTCCTAAACCATAAAATCTTGCATACTTCGCACATGTTTGCAAGGTTTGATGAATGTTCTCCCATGGAAGCAGGCCCTCATCATACAAGAAGCGTTGAATTCTTCCATTGCGCCAGTTTCGCACTGACTGTCAAGCTTTGAGGTTTGAATGGAGGAACGAATGAATACCCAAAAGTTAACGCGCTCAACAACCTCCAAATTTTCCCAGCGTGGTAGTGGGTTCACATTTGACAGCTCTTTGCTTGAAGCACTTAACCTTAAGCCCATCACAGGTCTTGGTGCTGACCCCCAACGACCGGCCCACCGTTCCCTGTAGTGCAGATGCCGCGGCCGTCTGTGCTTCACTAGGCGAAGGGAAGTGGTGTTTTTCAGTTCAATGACCAAGGAAAAGATTGTAGCTTATTTCCAGGTTGCAATGTGTTGTTGAACTGAATGCGAATTCTGCTTTGGGCTTGTCAGGTGTCAAGTATACAAATTGGAATTATTGTTTCGGATTCATTGCAGCAAATCCGTTTTTAAAGTCAGGATTCCCGCGGCTGGGCTTACGTGGGTTTACACTTACGGGCATCTGTGTCAGTTTTTTTTTCTTCTCTGGTTGGAATGTCGGAGTTCCCACGACCTACCACACAACCAGTATGTGGGATGTCATAAAAAATTATATGCTATGCTGTATATAGTGTTGCTTCGTTGTGACTACAAGAGGTTGAACAGGTTGCACCCTGAAACGTGAGGGTCGTGTTTTTCTTTATGCTGCAAACAATGAGAAGCTTGGCCATAACTTGGGTTGTACAGGCTACGAGCACCGGGTAGCCAAGAAGAACGACGCAGTCCTTGAAGAACCTCTGCTTCATGCTTCATTTCTTGGCAGTCTTGAATTCGGTGGTTCAAGTATAACTGTTGCAGCGTGCATGTTCAGTACTTGACGACTTGATGTGGTTTTGCCTTGGGTTCAGTTCCGCTTTCATTGGCTGCGGCGTCATCAAGTAGAGCGGATTCCTCGTAGTAGCTGAGGCAATACAGCAGTTCAAGCCGCACATGCTGGCTTCGCACCTGGGTGAGTTGCAAGATTTTTGCATGTCTCTAATGGGAGATATAGCATGATTCAACGGAAGCTACCATAGCATAGTAGGGTAATTGTTGGGATTTTACAGGGTTTTACCACAATAATGGAGAACGAAATGGAAAGGTGGAAATCAAGTGTTAACTAGGGTTAATATGGATCCTCACACGTGATAGCATCTGCCAACATCGAATCTGGCCTCATCTGGAGTCCAAGTTTTGGAATGACTTTAGGGCCTACTGTAAAGGCCTAAATAATTCTTACGCTATGGTCCTGAGTTCCTTTCATAATTTCATTTTAGGATACCTCACATAGACCTCAACATGATATTGGTGGTAATTCAGTCATTCAGGCCCCTGTACTCGGGTAGTGACTGACAGACTAGATCCTGATAGAGGCTCTTCTCATCCAAGTAGAAATTCCGAATACCTGCATACTGAACCATCCTCCACCTTTACTTGCAAAGCAGTGCTGAGTCAAGGTCATTGATGGGTAGTCATTCTTGGGTTCATGCACCCGGGTCATGATGTGTGCACCTTGTCTCAAGTCCGTTTCGGCTCTGCATTTTCGTGCAGCTACGGACTACCTCCCAACCCCCAGAGTAGTAATCCCCAGTTCTTATTCTCCATCTGGTTTCCCTCCCCCAGGAGCAGCAACCTGTTCTCTACTATTGATTGGAGCTCGGGCTATGTCCGGTGCCTCTTAGCCTCAACCCTCTTGAAGCACTGGCAAGCCTGGCAATACTCATGACTCCTACCATCATCACCTTGTTGAGCTGTACGGCTTCGATCATCAGCTTGGATTGGAGCTTGAACATGCAAGCTGCAACTGGTGGCTGTGCACCTTGACCTGCAATCCGCTAACCACAACCCTCAGCCCATTCTGAGCATCCCAGAACCTTCATGCAGCCAATGGCCTTGCGATGGGCGCCATGGAATTGGAAACCAGCTGCGCGCTGAGGGTGCAATCTGCCGCAACGCGGTGTGTCTCCAACGCCGCATTTTGAGGCCTAGATTCCTGTAGAAATTCTGTAGAGTGTAACTGAACTACACCTTAAACTGATGGCATTTGGACAAGCTAGGGGTATATTCCCAGTGTTTGAGTCGGCTTAGGATTTTTTTGGGCAGTGTAGGAGAGGTCTCAGCAGCATCCAGCTGAGTTCCTGGGATGCCTTGTCCATAGTTGCGGCTGAGCACAGCGGGATGATGGGAAAGAACATGGAACGTCCCATATTATGGTAGGATGTTGGGTTTATCTAAGGGTTATCTTGTTTTAACTTGCGCTTCTAATATCTGAGAAGCAGGAAGGACGGACTCTTTGACAGTGCAAATGAAGTTATAGAAGAATGATTCTTGCATGGAAGTAATTCAAGCAATCCTCTCATCATAACCCCCGAGCCGCTGATACTAAGTGTCCTCAACATTGTGCTATTATATGTGTGTATATATATATATACACATATGGTGGAATTTTGATGTTTAGTGGACTTGAGGTGGCTTAGGGGAGGTGATTCAGACTGATCACAGGATCACAGTGAGCTTTCATGATGACGAGATCAATACTGCTCACACTGTGCAAGGGTTTACGGCTTAAGGGTTTGGGGTCTAGGGTTTTAGGGTTTAGGGTTTAGGACTGTACAATGCTCGCCATATAGAGCCCACAGACCCTGTGACACGGTTCGTCTTGGCACGATACTCGTTTAGGCAAGACTTGCCCAGACCCCCTGAATTTCTTGAACAACCTTCGCCACAGAACCAGATAGCTTCCTAGGACTCACCTAAGGGTGCTTTTCAGATTGATGCTGAGGTTAAACCGGGGGTAGTCCGAATTACTCGACGCAAGCATGGCTCGCGAGCATTTTGGTCAAAAGCTTACCGCAGCTCAGGTGCAATCCAGTTCTCTGTGCCAAACCCTGGAGACTGAAAATAATCGTCTTGTGGACCCTGGTGGAATCTTTCCTGGACAGACCGGCGAGACCATGCCAAGCTCCTAAACTCTTGAAACCAACCCCCAAGTGGTAGTTCCTTGAAGAGGACGCCCGATCTAGATCACAATATGCTAGAATCCGTTGTAGGGGCCCTGGGTTTTTGGAAGCCCCAAATCAACCTTCTTACAGCCAGAGTGTTAAGTCCTCGCCGTCCGCAGGCTTGGGGGATGAACCTGCCGCTGCTACGCTCGCGTGCTTTCGCGGGTGATCGTGTGCCTCGGAGATTTCTGCAAGGTCTGCCACGGATGTCAGATAGTGTTGTAGAGGGCCATGTGCACAGACATATGTCTGTATGTATGCCTGAATGCATACTTACATGAGTATGTGCGGCACTATGCAGAAGAAATATATGTATACATAGATACGTTCTAGACTGATAGACATATCTGTATGCGTACATGTAGGTACACACAGACAACACAAGAGTACCGTGTAGAGGCAACCGCGTTTGGGGTTGCAGACCTCAAAAGAAGTCCTGCCCGTTGCATTTGAATTGCCTGCCATGTCGGCAAGTTGGGGGACGGCAACTTGGGGTAAGCAGAGCCGAGACAGGCCAAACTGTAAGTTGAAACATGGAAATAGTTGAAAGTCATGTCAAATAGGGTATTTTTTGTGCCCGCCAGTTGCTTGGACTGGGCAGACGAAGGATAGTCAGCGTTCATGGTGGGCCTGAGGCGGTTGGCTGAGCTGGATGGTTTGTGTGCTCGGTTTTTTTTTCTCAGCCATGGGGTTCCTCTACATCTCAAGACCACCAGTAGCAGCAAGTATCACGTGGCATAAATCCTTCAGCGCATGCAAGGCAGTAGCCTGTTAAGCACAACGCCGGATGACCTTATCAAAGCTAACATCCTCAGCTCAGGCCCCAAAGAGATCATGCCTTCACTATGCATCCAAAGCTTACACAAAATTTTGGTATGCAAGGGGAACCGTTTTGAATCCACAAAACTCGAAAAAGGAAGACCATTCAAAGACCCAGTCCCTAAGCCGTCACCCTGAAACCTGCGAAAGGTGGGCTTTGACCTTCTAAAGCGATGGATTTCCAATGCCTTCATGCGCGAGGTGCGCGATACCTCACCGGTTCCTTGGCCAGAATCAATTTGATATAGCCCCTATATATATATATATTGACATATATATATATAGATAACCCGTTTATAATCCCCATATATATGTATATATATATATATATATCACGCATATATAATCCGACATGATGACATTGGTGGGACGGCTGTTTGTCTGCTATCAGGAGTTTTCACGTCTTTTGAGCCGGCCAGCAGTCAGCAAGCTAGTTTCACAGCTGTGCGGTGCAAGGCAGGATTGCACAGAAGTTACATCGGGATTGTGCCAGTTTTTGGAAATCCCACCGTAAGGAGTCCCCTTATCTAAAGCCCTTGAACTCTAAAGTTCGACCCTAAACCCTAAACCCATTATGGTAGTTTCAATTTTCTTTCCCATTCCTTCCCATTCCTTCCTTGACCTCTAAAGGTTGACCCCAATATAAACCCATTATAATATAGTAGTTTCCATTTTCCCATTATCCTTTTATAACCCCAATATTATACCCTTTAACCCTATAATTCCTGCAGTTTCCATTGTCTTTTCCATCATCCCCATATAACATATATTCTCGGCCCCCAGGTCGGCTGCCCTTGGCAATCTTTGATATCGGCTTTGGAGGTGCTGCGGGATCAAGTCGCTGTGGACATGGATGATGGGATAATGGAAAGGAAGATGGAAACTACTATATAGTATATGGGATAATGGGAAAAAAGGGAAACTACTATAGGTTTAGGATTGGAGGTTTAGGGTTTAGGGCTTGGGGTCTAGGGTCAGAGGGTTCACAGAACAAAATGCCTGGTGCAGGAGTAAGTGCAGGGATTGTGGTGTGGTAGTTTCCAGAACCACACTTCAGACCCATAAATTACAATCCTGATTATCAGGTAAAAAGGTACCCCTAATTTTGGGAAACCCTCAAAGGGGTGAGGCAAGCACTTCCTGGTTACAATGGTGTGCACTCAGGTATTGCCACCTTCGAGAGAGTTCAGTGCCTGCCCGGAACCCTAAATCCTGAGCTTTCAATCCTGATTGTTTTTGAGGAGTGCACCTCATTTATATTGAGGCCCCTCAGTCATGGGAACCCCAAATCCTGTAGTCTCTTTATGACATATTTTTCATTTCTTTTATCGTATAACACGAAGAATGATTAGAGACGGCTTTTTGATAGGTCTTGGGAGTTGACGGAATTGATGCTCTAATTGTCATTAACCATGTTATCCGCAGATTCCATTTCTTTCTCCATTTTCTTTTTCATTTGATTCTCCATGATTGGGGAGTAATATTCCCTAAAACCTAAACCCTAAATAGAAGTTTGGAAGTTTCTATTTCTAGTATTACTGTATACTTGGGTCTCAACCCCATCGGTGCCCGGACATTCTGGCTGGGGTGTTGATGAAGCTTCCGTTTTCTTTTTCCATTAGCCTATATAACCCCTGTATTACCTTGAGGGGTTAAAGAAACCCTAAACCCTGGGTGATTACAGAATCGATTTGCCTGTTCCAGGAGTCCCGGCGGCGGCGCTGGCGCGAGGCACGCGCAGAGGGCGAAATGCTGGAGCTGGCAGATTGTCTGGAATCATTGGGTTTGGGGTTTAGGGTCAAGGGTCCAGGGTCTAGGCTTTCGGATTAGGGTTTAGTGTTCAGGATTTAGGGTTGAGGGTTCAGATGGGTTTAGAAGCTTTTGATTCCTTGTTACTGGAAGGGGCTAGAACGAGTTTATGCGCTCTTGGATACATAAGCCTTGGCGATGAAAGATGAAGCTGAAGGGTTAAGGGATTTTTCCACACTATGGAACATGATTTCGGATGCTCACTTGCCATAGGGATATAATCACATATCTTCCGTCGACGTATACGTGGGGATGTTCTGTTCGATTGAGGCGCACTTGCACAAATTTGGACAACGACGAAATAATGATGGTGATGATGATGATGATGATGACGACATGGTGGCAGCAGCAGCAGTGGCAGCAGCATCAGTGGCAGCAGCAGCAGCAGCAGCACCAGCAGCAACAGTGGTGGTGATCTGAACATGGATAGAATAAAAGCACTAGTACTGATGGTGATGCTTTCCTGACTAGACCAAAAGTGCTGCTTGCAGTGATGACCACAAATCCAGTCTGCATCGTTGTCGTTTTCAATGCTGAAGAGCAATTTCACATATGAATTTTAGCGCACACATGGTTGGTGGGAGGAGGGGCAGGAGAAAGTGTCCCTTCAGTCCGAGGATCCCATCACGGAGGCAGACATCCGAACAGCCCTTGTTCACGCCTACCAGGAGCTGGTGGGAAGCCCTTCATGTTGAGCTATGACTTCTTTCTGGTATTTTTCCAGTAATACTTGTAGAGGCGTGGATACTAGGAGTGGAAGGAGCCGGCGTACTGGTATTTGTAGTCATACTCATAGTAGCAGTCGCAGTGGTATTGTTACTACACTGCTGCTGTTGCTGACGACGAGAAAGACGAGTACTGCAGATATAACGATGTGCTGCGGTGCAGACAGTATCATTTGCTGAGGTTTTGTTTCCCGGAATTGCGTGCACCTGTTTTGGATACATGGTCAGTTGGGGTTGCCGTTCCGGCTTCGACCAGCACGAGGATGATTCAGGGTTGCAGCTTCAGGGTTTGAAGCCTGAGACCTGGGTGTGCAGGGTCTGGAGCTTGAGCGGTACTTTCAAAGACTAGGTTTGAGCACTGAAGGTTCACGGCTTCAGGTTTTTGGAATCATCCAACCATCTTTCTTTTTGGAAGATATGGAGTAGACCTTCAAGCGTCAGTGTGCAGGACATGCCCCCGGCCGCGCACCGAGCAGTTGCTGAGGCGAAGCTGAAGGACACTTGGCCCTCCGTAGCACATCCTAGAACCTGACGAGTCATTCATTTCGAAAGTTTATGTGCCCGTTGCAGGTTTGTCACACTAGGCGGGTAAAACGGCTGAAGACAGGATTCAGCTTCTTCGCTGTTTAGGCCGCTGGCATAAGGCGTCCTGTGCGGGCCAGCAGTGTCTGTTTTGCCGGAGAAACTCTCGCCACAATCTTGAGCGCACAGCATTTTAGGATGTTTTCGTTTTGAAGAGGCTTAGAGGGGTTGAAATGCCCAGAGCTATGAAGCTTGAGCTTAGAATGAAGGGTTCAAGGTTGAGGCTTTACGTTTAGGGTTTAGTGTTTAGGGTTTAAGCTTTTGGGTCTTGGATTGAGGCTTAGGGACTTGTGAAACGTGACCACAGCCATTGCGTATATTCCTGGGAAAATTTCTCTAGAATTCTTATGGATTATAAAGCCACGAGTACGAAGTTTTTATCGGACCAGGAAAAGCCATCCCAGAACACACCCAAGCACCGGAACCCCAACCCGCTGCCAAAGCGCGTTTCAAACCAGTGAGGATGAACTCTCCATTTTCCAGATGGCACACTTCCCGGATGCAGATGCCGTGTCTTGACCATGCGTTCTTATGATGTCGAAAGCTTCTTATGCGGATCTACAACGGGCGTTGAGGTAAGCTTCCCGACTATTTGGGACATGTCCTCACAGAGGCGTCACCAGGATATCTAAACAGGTAGGAACGACTCTTGTAATTTGGACATTCCGAAGCATTCATTTTTGGAGCGACGAGATCAGGAACATCCATGCTGATCGCCCCCGGTTGTTCGACAGACATGGGCTGGATGCTTGTTGGATGAGATTTGGGCACTTCCAGCAGATTGGATCCAACAGCTAGGGTTCCTTCTTGCATACCCGCAAGGGCTACACACCTTCTCATAGGGTCTCCAAAGAGGGGACCATTATTTCTGGAAACCTCCATCCTCATCTTCAGCTCCAGCAAATATTTCAAGCCAACAGGCAATAGTTTCGGTTCAACAAGTACTAAAGTAAGCATACCTCCTCTCCCAAATCACACTGCCCTTCCCCAAAAACTCTTATTCCCTGGATGGGAACCAAAAGGGAACTCATGTATTGTAAGGGCCCTTCTTGTAAGCAGCAGTGGGATCAAAACCGAACAAGGTGCAGGTGAAAATCTGGTATGAGCCTTGTGGCTGTCAGGAGTGAAAGAAGGGGGGGAAAGGGACATGCAAACTATGTTTTTTTGGGGGAGGCTGTACATGCAGACTACTCTAGGAATCCATTCCTCCATTGCCTACTGAAGACCAGCAAGCCACAGGTGATTCGACACTGGAAGTGGTACCTACACTGCTTGACGTTTGAAAGTCACGAGTTCACTTCTGATGGCACCTGCTGGGACAAGTTTCCTGCATCTGTGCTCAATAAGAATCGAAGTGCTGAAGGGATGTCCTGGTGATTCTGCGCGACATTATGGGGATTGTATAGGGGCTTCGCACGAATGGGAGGGTTGCTGCACATCAGGGTTTAAATTTTGTGGAAGGTTTGGGGATGTCTGGTATTATCCCTATAGAATCCTCTCTACAATCACAACATGTAGCCTATTGTACTATGGTAGTTTCAATTCTCTTTTCCATTAAACGAGTTTGGGGCAGCAGACTGCATATGGCCCCAAGTGGATCTTAAACTTTTGGCCCGACCCCAACCCCAGCATCATACAGGGCAATGGAAAAGCAAAAGGAAACTAGCAGATTAAAACAGGCTATATATTGTGATCCTAATGGGTTCTATATGGATAGTACCCCAATAAAGGCGAATCACATCGAAAAGAAACTGGAGAATGAAATCTGCAGTGGGATCGTGTTGGGGTATTCACGGAGTATATGAATTACTGTCAACATCAGGTTTACTGGGGAACCATGAAGGGTGGACACAGGGGTTCCCCTTCGTAGTTTAGTATAGTACCGAATATATTTCCTAATAGGAATCCATATCCATTCATAACATAATGTGGGAAACATTACCTATAACTGCTATGGTAGTTTTCTAAATAGGGGCACCCAATACAGATTCCAAAATACTATATTCCTCTTTATAGGGACCCCCCAAAAGGTACCCCTGATTGTCGTAAAATCCCATATACCAAAACGAGATCTGCTCTTCAGGTTCAGCCCTATTGGCTAGATCGCCAGACCCAAAACCGTAGTGATTGCCAATATTCATCTCCGAACCCTAAACCTTACCCCAAGCTCCAAGTTTTGTCTGAACTCCTAAATTGATGACGTTTGGCGCTCAAGCCTTAGAGTTTGGCATTCATCGGAGCCTGTGTTGTGGCAACTAGTTCTAACCCCTCAACTCGAAACCCTAGACTCTAAACCCTAAAGCCCAAACCCTAAACCCGAAACCCCGAAAAATGGATCCATGGCACTTTGTGAGAGGACCTGGATGATCCCTGCATTGTGCGGATGCCTCTGGACTGCGTCGACCTGCAAATCCTTGCACGCATTTTCAAGGCCCCTGCTCGGGGCTACTGCTTGCTTTGCGCTGTAAATGACAGACTCTTCAAAATATGTGAGCTATAGGGTACATATTGGGATTACATAGGAGACTATACAGGGATAGTACCCCAATGGTGGAGACTGAAGCAGAAAAGAAAATGTCACATGGAATGTATACTGGGATTAGATCCCAATCATTGAGCTGCGCAATGTATCATCCATGCTACCCCACGATGGGTATCGCGGCCGTACAGTAGGCCTCTTCTGCCATCTAAAGGGCCCACCAGGAAGGACGCAGTAATGTTGATACTAAGAATCATGCATGGCCTCAGTACGCTGTACTGCTACACTAACATTCCCAAGGTATGCGGCACTGAGGGTCATGCATGCCTTGTAGTATCAACCCTATAAGCCCGTATCTAATCCAAGTATCTTTTCATTTTGGATTTTCTTTTCTATATGATTCTCCATAATTGGGGTACTATCCCTATATAATCCTTTATATAATCCCAACATGCACCCAATGGCCCAAAATTTGAAGAGTCTGTCATCTACCGTGTTTTCCTGCTAGGTGCAGATCACGGTTTCCCGGCTGGGACGGGAGGCGCTTCGACTGCTGCCCAGTGAGGCCGAGGGCATTCCCTTCGCCAGTCGGGTGTGCGGGGTTGCCGTTCAGGGACTTAAATTGAGTTCAAAGAAAATGTGATTATATAGTAATTCGCAAGGTATCATTAGAAGGGTAACGTAATTCAAGTTCCGTAATGGCAACCCGGTTTATGATTCCAGGTTTAGTGGTTCAAGATTTCCGTCTAGGGTGCAGGGTCTGGCTGTCCGAGATTCCGATACAAGCAGGCTTGCATTGCTGTTGGAGTTTTAGGCTTTTCCACGGTCTTCAGTTCAAGAGTGGGTTCTGGTACGGAGATTTTGCCATGTGTTTGTCGCATGCAAGTGAGATACGATGTTTGTCTGTGAGCCCCGATGCATTTTGTTTTGTGCATCCTTAGATGAGGTCGTTCTTCTGCTAGGCAGACATTGTCTTCTTTTACGGGCCACGGAGCATGTTTTCAAGCAGTTTGTGCGTTGATGTATCAGGGCAAGAAAGAGAATACAAGAAGTAGAAATGGTTGTTGTAGCATGGAAAATCGGAACACTGCTTTTTGTCGGTTCTGCTGCCTGGTTCGACAGGGCAAGCAATGCAATGTCCTGCAAGATCTACATAGCATGATTTAGCATGCCGCAGTGGTGGGATAATCGTGGTGTTCCTTCATTATCATCGACATACTTACCACTATTATATACCGTGTCATGTTTACTCCCTACTCTCCTTTAAGCTAAGCACCTGCTCCTGACGCCTGGGATCCAGAATCAGGAGGATGGCTGTGAGGACGTCATTCACCTGATTATGCATGCAGGCACCTGCTTGTTTGCTAAGTGTGTTCTGGGTTGGGGAACGCACAGTCTTCGAGAGTGGAGAAAAATGGTTCTGGTATGTTGGGTGCTGAAGACTTTTGTAGCATGGGCGCGCATGTTTCTTCGCTCCAGTGGCTGAATCATTTAAGGCTTGCCACCTAAAATGCAACCTGCTTCCTCTTTGATGTCAAGAGACGCCGTCAGCCTGTCAGCAGCAATGTAAACCTTAGCTTTCCAAAGCCTATGCTGACCCCGGCGCTCATTTGGAGATCCGCAAGCCCTGGAAGAAGGCCCCATACTAAAGGATTTTGAATCATCACCAAACCTCAAGCTCATGTGTGGTTCCCATGTCCATAATGTAAGATTCAGAACCCTTGACTGGAGGCCCCCGAACCTTTTCAAGGAGGCCAGTACCCCTTCATGGAGAACAACTCGCTAATGTATGTACTGGTTCTTAGTAGGGAAGCAGTGATGCGTGTATGCTTCGCATTTCCAGTCTGATTTTAGATATGTTTCCTCATCAAAGTGTACAGGGCTCTCCGCACTGACAGGCTTCAAAACTTACTGGGGGTTAGTAGTGAGTATGGGACTGTACTATTTAGGGGATATATAGGGATTGTAGTCCCTTCTTCCCTACTAACCACCAGTAAGCAAGTCTTCAATCTGCAAGTCTACAGCCCTGTCAGTCCGAAACCCTGACCTTCTCTTCATCTGTCTGAGGTGCCAAAGTTGGTCTTTCCATCTACTCTCCACCTGCAGAAAACACCAGTACATGGTATAGTATATTTTGGTATATTAAAGTATGCTATATAGTATGGTATATTATTGTATATTGTATAGTATATTTTGGTAGATTAAAGTAGGCTATATAGTATAATATGGTATATTATAGTGTATTATACAGTATCATATACCATATAATAGTTGTAAAAGGGCTTCAACGGCCTTAACAATGCAGCAGTCATTTTGTCATAAACCTAGTAGGTCGCAGGCTTGATATGAGAGCCCCGTGTAAGGCCAAGTACCTATTTGTAACCACTGCTTGACTGAGGCTGCACGCTTGTCTGTCCCCAGTTCATTTGGCTCTGCTCATTAGGATTTCATAAAATAATTCAAAAATAATAGTAATAATAGTAATGATACAAATAATAGTAATAGTAATAAACAGGTGCCTTGAGAAATCCTAGCACCTTGAACCAGCTGTAGGATCCTAGAAGAATGCGCATGTCCCAATGCTAGTAGCACATCTGCTCGGGATGGTATTCAAGACAAAGGCGGCACGATTCTCCTTGCTGCAGAAGGTTTTAACCTATCATATTACAGTACATTGTATAGTATATTATTGTATATTAGAGTATGTTATATAGTATAATACGGTATATTATTGTGTTGTATATAATATCATATACCATATAATATACTATGTTAGTACATTTTTGAGCTTGCAGCGTTGCCTTCCTTGCTCGTAAAACCTCTATGCAAGGTTTGGAGTCTTAAGAAATATGATTTGGGTATTGCCCCCATTCTGTAACAGTTGGATAATACCTTATATATAGCCCTTAATATGAACCCTTATATTGACTGTTACAGGGTGGGGGCAGTAGCCCACATATCAATCTAATTCCCATACAGTCGGTTCAGCTTCACACAACCTGGGTAAAAGGACCTTAATCGGGAAAAATGTCCATATACACCCAACCAACATAGTCCTTGGCAAATGCAGTGTGGGTACTTGAAGGTTCAGGGTACTCCTCACCCAGTTATAGACCCAATTCGAACCATATCAGGGACGTAATTAGACCTACAGTTGTACGTAGGTCATACCTAACCCTTCTCTTTGCACAGATGTAATGCCACCACTTTCCATTTCATATTTTATTTGGCTTTCCACTTGATCCTTTTTTTTCCACTTCACATGTAGGTTATACACTTACCCTGAACCTCCAAGAAATGGGTTACAACAACCTTGAGCCCCCAACCCTACATCCTGAACCCTAAACCCTCAACCCTAAACCTATAACCCAAAATGCTGAACACCAAACCCTACACCCTAAACCCTAGACCCTAGACCGTGTATTGCCAGGGCTTTGGGCCGCGCTCCTGAGCACCTTGGAAGGGGGAGATTCATGAGCTATTGGCAACATCAAGCTTGTCAACACTATAAAAAGGGTTATGGGCTTATAGAGTTTAGGGTTTAGGATGTAGGATTTAGGATTAGGGTTTAGGAGATCTGGGGTTTATTGCCATTACTTTGGATTTTTGGGCAGATTTTTGAGTTTATTTTTTGGAATTACGGAAATTTGGGAGCCCTAAGTAATGGTAGGTTCGTATGGGCTTGAGCGTTTAGGTTGTCCACATGAGCTACTTTCAATATTTAGGCTTACCAAGGGACCGTTAGTTTAGTATAGTCCTAATGTACCGCCTTGATAGGAGGCCTTCTCGGTTAATTCTATGGGAAACATTGACTGTACTTCAGATAGGGATGGTTTAGGGATACCTAAAGGGTGTTGTCAGGCCATAGCGACTATGTCAGGATTTTCAGGGTTTTAGCGGTTAGCATCTCAATATAGGATTGCAGAATCGAATGGTAAAGACAATGGGACATGAAAAGGAAGCTTGGGTTCTGTACAAGGTGTCAGGTTTTTTAGCTTAGGATTTCCTACTTTAGGTTTTCGGGCAGGCTATTGGGGTTGGTGTTTGCATCTTGGCAGTTCAGGATTTAAGGTTCAGTGAGAGCTTAGGGTGCATGGCGGCAATCTTTCGGATTTTCTGCTGGACGTTCAGTTACGGGATTGAGGGCTGAGGATTTCTGGCTGCTCCTAAGCTGAGGTAGCTTCCATCGTCTTTTCTATTATCCTCCCATAATGCAACCCTACATACACTCTATATTGCAAAACCACCAGTATAATGTCATTTCCATTGTTTTTTCCATTTGATATTCCCTTGTAATTCCTACATACACCCCAGCAAAGCAACCCAGGTTCTCGGGCACCGATACCGGAGGCTGACATCGTGGGCGCCGTGGTCAAGCTGAGCAATGATCTGCACCTCGGTTTTGAATGGTCAAGAGTTCCGGATTTTCTGGAATCTTTGCGTATGTGGGGTCAAATTATAGGGGATACTGGAAAAAGAAAATAGAAATCACTTCATCATAATAGGGTATATATTGGGATCATACAGGCGTGAAAGCTTCAGCCTTTTTGCTTGGGAGGTTTGGAGTGCTCGGGAGGGATACGAATGATTTCGGCAGATGTTTTTTTGAGGTCCTTCTTCAAGGTTCCTTATGAAAAAGAGGTTTAGGATTTGGTTTGGGGTTTGTTACAACAGCGTGGGGTATCTAAGGTGGCCCCGATCTCAAGAAATGCTTCTACGTTTGGGTTCATCGGATTTATAATCGTTGCCATGCAGCAATGAGATGCTACTGCTGCGACTGCGTCCTAAACCTCTGTGTGGTAGTTGACCAAACTCAAATCTTGCATTTGCCTTGGGCAACACATCAGCACAAATGTCCTGCGAAGAAGTCAGCCGCAGTTCGAAGCAATGATGGCCAACAGCGATGGCCATGTCAACGCCATCCTTCCAGTAGAAAGTATAGGTAAACTCCTAGAGTGCATACCCTTCGGATGTTCCGGCTAGGAGCTGTTTCCAAGACTTTGCCAACAAGACGGCCTGCATCCTTTCCTACGATGAAGTGCAAGACTTCTGCACAGCCTGCGTGGGGAGGCCGCAAAGTTCTGACACAATTTCCAAGGGAACATGTGTAGAGCAGATGTGGGGCGTTCGAGGGATGCGCTCATCATTGCGAGTACTTGCGACTCGACTATGGCATGCACATCATGGTGTCGTAGGCCTGTTCATGGACGAGATTGTCATAGACCCTGAAGGTTTTGAGCTGATCCGCATGTTGTTGCTCTTGCTGTATCCCACCATTTTGGATCTCTTGTTCCTGGCGTTATTTGCAGAGTAGGGAAGTCGCCTTAGCGAGAGGTACGTCATCCCGGTGCAGCGGGACGGAATTTGCAGGATCATTGCCTGCGACGAGTCTAGGCACCATCCGCGCCGCTTGATCGTAAAGAGGTTTCTGTTTTAAAAAATTGGAATTGAATAAGGTCAGTTTGAAGCAGCTTCTTTTCATGTGACACGCAAAAAAGTCCACGACCTTGTCTTTGTTGTGAGTCTTGCCTCACAGAGTTTAGGACTGTAGGGTCAAGAAGAGTTTACGATTCCAGGTTGAGTCGTTCCTTGATCCTGTAAGAATCCCACTTCACGAAACCTTCATTCAAAGCAAGTCTCCCTGCATTGACTCTTATTTGCAGCCCGAAAGTGCATGGTCGCCTTCGTCATTGTTAGGATGTGTCAGTGGCCTGCCCCAGCAACTAGAATGATAGTAGTAGTAGTAGTAGTCGTCGTCGTCGTCGTCGTCGTCGTAGTGGTAGTAGCAGTAGTAGTAGTAGAAGAAGTAGTAGTAGTAGTGGTAGTAGTAGTAGTAGCAGCAGTAGTAGTAGTAGTAGTGATAGTGGTAGTGGTAGTAGTAGTAGTAGTCGTCGTCGTCGTCGTCGTCGTGGTGGTGGTGGTGGTGGTGGTGGTGGTGGTGGTGATGGTGGTGGTTGTTGTTATTGTAGTAAGTAGCAGCAGCAGCAGCAGCGGCGGCGGCGGCGGCGGCGGCGGCAGCAGCAGCAGCAGCAGCGTCAGCGGCAGCGGCAGCGGCAGCAGCGGCTGCAGCAGCAGCGGTAGCAGCAGCGGTAGAAACAGCAGCAAGGCCAGAGCGGGGGCCGACAACACAGGGTCAGCAAGAGCAACAGCCTGCAGGCGCATGGTCACATTTGGTTGCTGGTGATTGTCGCAATTATTTGTACTGCTACTGCTGCACCAAGGACCACTGTTACCACCACTACTACTCCTAGAACGTTTACCACCTATTACCTACTACCTACTATCTGCGGCCTATTGCTTACAGCCTACAGCCCAGTGCCTGCTGCCTGCCTACTGTTGACTTCCACTTCCTACTGCCGACTTCCAATTGCCTACTGCCTGCTGCCTACTACCTTGTATCAAATAGATTCTACCTGCTACTTGCTACCTGCTACCGCTTACCTTCTATCTACTACCGACTACCAACTTTGATTGCAATACTGCTTCCTATTCTACTGCTGGTGGTGCTGCTAGGTCATCATTGTCGTGTTGTTGGTGTTGTTGTTGTTGGTAGTGGTGGTGCTGCTGCTGCTGTTGTTGTTGTTGGTGGTGGTGGTGGTGGTGGTGGTGGTGGTTTTGGTGGTGGCGGCGTTGGCGGTGGCGGTTGAGGAGGTGGTGGACGGATGGTACTTGCCTGGGGTGGATAGCCCTCCCCTTGCTGACATATCATCTTGGAAGCTGTCCTTGCATAATCCTGAAGAAGGGCCTTGAATCCCGTTGTGCTCCCTCCTTAGGGCTGGGATCCTTTAGGGTATCCTCCTGAGCGAGAGTTCAGTTTGTGTGCTGGAGCCCAAGCTCAGGCTACCGGACTCGTGAGGCAGAGAGCTGAGCCAGGGGCTTTCAAAGTTTCTATTCAAAAGAGTAGCGGGTTTCATCAGGATCATTTTTTGGCGCATATTTTTATTACGCCATGATGTCTTGGGGTATCTTGCAGGCTTAGCTTGACAGCTCAAAGCATGTGCTGGCGGGGGATAGTGCGGATTCGAAGGTTTCTTGTATTTGTGAGTTTGTTTTTGAGATATCCCACCAAAGGACCGTATTCGGTATGTAGGGGCATGTTAAATGGTTGGAATAGGTGCTAGAGTCCAAGGCGGAGGCTCCTGTGTAGTGCTCTTTCATCTGTACCAACTTGTTCTCCCAAACTACAGTGTGCGTGTTCATTTCACGTTCACAGTGGCCGACTCACCACCGGTGCTTTTTAAGATTAGAGCAGGGAAGAATTGTTCTCAACCTGTATTAGTATGAGCCACTGCACATCACTGCACCATATGTCCCTCTTGATCAATCCCGAGTTTCTGCCTTCCATGTTCATCCTTCAATCCTGTCCTAAACACAGAAGTTCGCGAAGCCTGGTCGGCAAGGCACGCTTTGGTCTTTAAATTGGGATGGACACTCCAAAGATGTGAAAAGCTTACTGGGGCTTAAGGAACAAGAGAATATTAGCCATATATAGCCCCCATATGCTATATTCCCTCATTCCTGACTAACCCCAAGCAAGAAAACTCCTGTATCCCGCGCTCTTTGATCCGAGCCTGGCCGCTGTGCTCTGATGGGGCCGAGGGCAGTAGAGCCCAAGTACTGTAGCTGTCATGTTCCCCATCTAGCCCTCAAGAGGGACCGCATTTCTCCAGCTTGATTTAGGGTTTAGGGTTTAGGGTTGAGGGTATGCTCAGAATCCTCAGATGATTTTTGACGTCATTGTCGAGGTTCAGCTGTAAAGCAGTCATGCCGCCAGAGCGATGTCAAAGCCAGAACTGTCATATGCGTACAGTTAGAGCCCTGAGCAGGTTGCAACCACATCTCGCAGTCATGGTTGGGTTATAAACAAAAATAGATAGTGAGTAACGAGCTTTGGGCCGACGTTTGATGATTTGTCTTGGATCTACTGAGAGCAGGTTATTAAGGGGGATAACCGGGGTGTTTATTTCGTCTTTACGAAGTCCCCCTGGCCCTCCAAGTACACGCGTGGGAGTTCCTCAAAGTTTCAGTGGCTTCTGTAATCTGCCACAAGGGATCCTAGGCAAGGAGTCCCTGAAAACTTGTAAACGCGCATCTATGCGGATACTGGAAGCCCCAATATCCCAAATATCCTCTTTTTAGGTATTGTACGAGAAGGATGTAATTTTAAGTGGCTCAGTCACCCAACAACAAGCCTAAAACTTCCTCATTATCCATCAGAGATAGGCAAGTTTAAGCTGAAGAGACGTCTTGCATTGCAGTAGGGTGTAGGAGCATGTAGGAGCTGTTTGCTTGTCACAGGGGCCATGTCCGTGACTGTCTCCGTGAGCTTGCTAAGCGGCAAGACAGTTGCTTTGCAAGCTGAACCGGATGAATCTGTGAAGAGCTTGAAGAAACGCGCACAAACCGCCCTGGAAGTTGGAAGCAGTAGGCTCTTGGGGACATCTGGACGTCCTCTGGATGATGCGTCCAGCATTAAGAAAGCCAGGCTGCAAGAAGGAGATGCGCTGACTTTGCACATGTCCAGGGTACAAATCGCCCATTCTGGGCATGGGGCAGCTACTTTGGGGGCAGAGTTGGGGGCCTTCGCCGCTATGCTGGGGGATGGATCAGTCATCACATGGGGCAGTACCGAAGCTGGTGGCGACAGCAGTGCCGTTCAGGACCAGCTGAAGAATGTGCAGCAGCTCCATGCCAGTGATTCTGCTTTTGCTGCAATCCGGACGGATGGATCGGTCATCACATGGGGCTGTTCTGAATCCGGTGGTGAAAGCAGTGGCGTACAGGCCCAGCTGCAGCATGTGCAGCAGATTCAAGCCAACGACAATGCTTTCGCTGCCATCCGGGCCGACGGCTCGGTCCTCACATGGGGCGATTCCGATAATGGTGGGGATAGCAGTGCTGTTCAACCAGAACTAAAAAGTGTACGGCAGATCCAAGCTACTGTCTGCGCTTTTGCTGCCATCCGGGCTGATGGCTCGGTCATCACATGGGGCGATTCTGAGTCTGGTGGCGATAGCTCTGCTGTACAGGACCAGCTGCGGAATGTGCAGCAGATCCAAGCCACTGCTGGCGCTTTTGCTGCCATCCGCGCTGATGGCTCAGTCATCACATGGGGCGATTCTGAGTCTGGTGGGGATAGCAGTTCTGTACAACACCAGTTGAAGAACGTGCAGAAAATCAACGCGTCTTTTGGCGTTTTTGTCGCCATCCGGGCTGATGGCTCAGTCATCACATGGGGCGATTCCGACTCTGGTGGCGAGAGCAGTGCCGTGCAAGACCAGCTGCAGCGTGTGCAACAGATCCAATTCAGTAACAATGCTGTGGCTGCCATCCGGGCTGATGGCTCGGTCATCACATGGGGCGATTCTGAAACTGGTGGTGATAGCAGTGATGTACAAGACCACCTTCAGCATGTTCAGCAAATCCAAGCCAATAACAATGCTTTTGCTGCCATCCGGGCTGATGGCTCGGTCATCACATGGGGCGTTTCTGAGTCTGGTGGCGATAGCTCTGCTGTACAGGACCAGCTGCAGAATGTGCAGCAGATCCAAGCCACTGCTGGCGCTTTTGCTGCCATCCGCGCTGATGGCTCAGTCATCACATGGGGCGATTCTGAATCTGGTGGCGATAGCAGTGCGGTACAGGACCAGCTGCGGAATGTGCAGCAGATCCAAGCCAATGATTTCGCTTTTGCTGCCATCCGGGCTGATGGTTCAGTCATCACATGGGGCGATTCCGAGTCTGGTGGGGAGATCAGTGTTGTACAGGACCAGCTGAAGAATGTGCAGTAGAGCATGTGTTTTCATGACCTCGGCGCCACCTTCTGCCTTTGAAAGTTGGAATTTGCATAGTGCGGGTGCTACCTGTAACTTGTTTTGCACTACCACATATTCATTCGGGGAATTGAAGCAATTTTGTTGCAAGTAGAGCAACAAGCAGCATGGCCATAATGATAGGCATCCTTAAGGGTAGGTGCCTGGAAAAGGCCAGGAACTAATTGCCGCGCAGAGTCAACCTTCCCTAGGGTGTTTTAGAGGCACCGCCATGCAATTGAGGGGTGTCAAATTGAACTGAAACCTTAAACTAACCACTTGTTTCCCAACCACCTATATGACTCCACTTCCCGTTTTATCTTCCATTTTCTTTTCCATTTGATTATCCATGATGAGGGTCATACCCCCTAAACCCTCAATCCCTAAATGATGTAGTGGTTCCATTTTAGGTTGGATTTTCATACTTGCAGGATCAGGGTGACTTCGTAGTTTTGTAAGTAAGTGTGATTATAACCCTTCAGAGCCATTGAACCAACCAAGCTTTCTCCATCGCAGACCTATGTGCAAAGTTCCCCTGACCCTCAAAGTACTGCATGATGTCTTCCACGTGCAGCACGAACACTGCTTGAATGTCATGGGGTTGATACACAGCTGGCGATCCTAAACGGCCGAGCATCTTCGGAGTGATAGCTGAACACCGCTTCGATATTGTTGAGTAGTATTTCGCATGTCTGCGTGAGCTCAATATAAATTAACGATCATCTTGGATTCGATAGCACCTGAAAAAGAGTCCATGTGGGCTTGATGCGGACCCGCATAATTTTCTTGTAAGCGCTATATAGGATTGAGTGCAGCAGCCTCATTTTCAGGAGCAACTAAATCTCATGGAGTGATAATATTCCTTCCAAGAATTACTTTTGGATCCCTCTGTGATCTCACTACCTCAGAACTGTATATATTACCCACCAGAATCTTCCGCCGAAATCCAGAGCTTCCAACGTGGTACTAGGAAGCTCCCTAAACCCTAAGCCCTAAACCCTATAAACAATCGCAAAACCCAAAGCCCTAAAGAATCGTAAGCCCTCAACCCTACACCCTAAACCCTAAACTGCGACAGATCGACGTGAGAAGTCGCGAGATCCGGCGAAGCCGAGCTCATTTGGACGGTCCTGGGCCAGGCAGAAGTCGTTGCCTTTGGGGATGAGGTATTGGTTTAGGGTTTAAGGTTTGAGTATGCTATTGTTCAATATTAGAGGGAGTGGATTAGTGAAGCTTCTTTTCCAGAGGAGGCATTTCGGGCAGCTCAGCTGACTGCAACAAGACGCGAGAAAGCAGACTTAACCCTGTGTCACATGGCCATACGTGCAGAATCAGGGTGACTTGGTAGCTTTGTAGGTAAGATTGGCAAGTACACTTTTAGCCCTTAAAAGCCATTGAACCACCCGAGCTTTCTCCATCGCAGACCCACTTGCGAAGCTCCCGCGACCCTCCAAGTACTGCATGATCCGTTCCACGTGCAGCACCAGCACCGCTAGCATTTCATGGCCGTGTTCATACGCAGCTGGAGATCCTGAACCGCCGAGCATCTTCACAGAGATACCTGAACACCGGTGAACTCAACATACAAACGATCATGATAGCACGTCATGAAGAGCCCATATGACCTTGATGCGGACCCGCATAATTTTCTTGTAAGCGCTACATAGCCTTGGGCCCCAACGGTAGCCCCATTTTCAGAAACTCTCATATCAGGGGACGCGCCGAGCTTTTTCGGCATCCCAGACGGCTCCTTGGAGTTTCAGGCTCGGAAGGGAAGCTTCAAGCCTTGTGGGTTTTTTGGGGATCAGTTTAGTACTTGGGGAATTTAGGGTTCTGGCGATGTGACAATTTGAAGGGTGGCTTTGTTTGAGGTTGTGAGTTTGAAGGCTTAGAGGTTGAAAGCTTCAGGGTTTTGGGCTTTAGGCATTTTGATCTAAGGTGAACCTTGAACGCAGGATAGTTCTAACAGGTCTTACCAGGCTGGCCAGTGCAATTTCAAAGTTCCATTTGAAAGCTTGTTTGACACTCCCAGTATGAGTTTGTGCCGGAAAGAGCCCGTTCGTTGAGTCGTCCATTCGTCATTCGGCTGTTGCCTGGGAGGCAAACATGCAAGAATAGAGGGTTTAAGCCGACCCCATGATTTCAGACAGTGAATCATCAGACCATCCCACGTGAAATTGCCAGGTGCTTCTGGACTTGGTCACTCAGATGCTTGTGCTGCAGTGCTTGGGTGTTGAGACTCGGGACTTGGTTGTGCCATGGTAGCTCGAAAACTTTTGGAGATGCAGGTCACTGGGTCAAAGAGCTCAAGCTTTCTGAAGCGGATGCCTAGTCACAGTCATGGCTTGATCCGGCTTGATTGTCTTGAATAAGAATCTTTGATTTGGCAGTTCTCCTCCCTCCCCCTGTGAAGGCTGACCGGCCATCACCCAACAGAGATTTAGAGGTATGGTTGCATGCTGATCTCAGTGGGAAGTTTGCATTCTTGGACTGTCCTTCGTTCTGGATGAGAAGCAGGGTATGATGCAGCAGTCTCGAAAATTCATGTTGGAGGAGCCCATCGCCAGACTATGCCTCTGTGATCTGAGGATGGCTTGTGAGCGGCTGCTTGCCACGCGCTCGCACCTGAAGGCGGCTGCTGCTACTGCTATTGCGGCTACTACTACCACAGCTGCTACTTTTACTGCTACCGTTACGGCTTGCTACCGCTCATGCTGCTACGGCGGCTGCTGCTGCTACGGCGGCTACGACGGCTACTACTGCTGCTATGGCTAGTCCTTTTTTGCCATGGACGCGTGTTGCATATCTCGTATCATTGGGATTGTGATGGTTGTTGCAACCATCACAGCTACAGATGCAACAAGTTTGAGGTACAGACAGAGAAATCTGCAAAGCAACTGGGAACTCCTAAGCTGGGTTGCTGTTAAGGAACTTAGAAATTAAGCTACCGTAGTGGGCATATAATGTAAATAATGAGGGTCACGTGAATTAAGTTCCTTAACAGCAACCCAGTAGGTGGACCTTCCACCCTGTAATAGTAGCATCATAGGAATACAAGAGGACCCTAGTATAATCCTTATTATGCTTTATGGTCACTATCACTGGTTGGGGGGTACACCTAACCTATACCCTTAATATGACTCCTAATATAGACTGTTACAGGGCGTGGGCAGCACCCAATCCTAGACGGCTTATCGTTCATACATTCCTGAAAACACTCGTGCGTTGGAGGGCGAGGTCCCGGTCAAGCCGGACCGCTACGCCAGGCATCCTGTCAGCAATCTGTAGGGTCACAGAGTTTCAGGCCACCTTTTCATTAGATAACAATAGCAATACCAATAGGAATAAGAATAGTAAGAACAGTTGTCATAATTCGAATGCTAGTACTAGAAAGTGGCTAGGCAAAGGAGATAAAGAACTGCTTGTAGCGGCTGGTCACTGTCGGCCTGTTCGGAGGCGTCGTAATTGTTATGTGGTCCTTGTCCAGCACCTTCCATGGAAATGCTTAGACATTTTGAACTCTTGAAAAGATACTTTTGAAAAGGGCTGCTACTTGCCTGCAGTGGTAGTTCGTGGACTGTTTGGCGTTTGGCGCTTGGACCTGTTCTTTGACTTATTCAGATTCTGTGGGTTTTAGTAGCTCCTCTTTTATCGGGGTTGAGTTGGTGTACTGTCAAGAATAGTTGGTAGTTTTCATGAAGAGAGGAAACCTAGCAAAGACCAATCCTTTCTATATTACCCGCCGATTATTTTTGGAAACCCGCTTTCAAGATGTTCGTCAATGGGTTGTGCTTCGCACTGGTTGGAGAGAGAGCCAGCAAGTCGTCTTTCGTGCCACAACACATCCGTCCTGAAGCATCAGATTCCAGGCACATAATGTATTTGACAGCGGTTACCTAAATCAGTGAGTCTTCCTGCCCCTATGCAGGTGTTGTATAGCTTGCAACAGCACATAGTCACCCTTCACTCACATTACGTTTTGAAATCTACACTAACCTGGAAGGTCAGGAGGAAGTAGTAAGTAGGTTCATGAAGCTGTGCTATAAATGTACTTGCTAAGCCGCTCTGACCCTCCAAGTATATGCCTTAGTCATCTTTATGCGTTTAAAGAGCATGTCTCTAAGGGCTTTTGGAGGGACCCCCACTGGGGACCCTTGTAGCTTATGGGGGTTAATATGGGGACTACCTTGTGATATAGGGGTGAAAAAAAGACTATATAAGAGTTATATATGGTATTAGGATTAAGGGTCCCTATTAGGGGTCCCTCCTAAAGTTCCTAGAATGTCTCAGGTACTTGGCACGTTTGGAAGACTTAGCGCCGCTCCCAAGCAATGTTGAGGCGAGTAGCGTGTGTGCAGCTTGTACTACTAAACGCTAACATCATGTCTTTACAAGTTCTCCGCAGGATTTGCATACTGACCATTGAAGAATCTTATATTTGTGCATTTCAGTGAGCTTAGGGTCCATCTAGGTTTATCTTCAGCCGTTTCAAGGAAGATCACACAGGATCCATGCGCGACTTCGAAGGATTTCCACGCTAGAGTCATTGCAAGGCCAGGAGGAAGTCAAAGGCATCATGCCGACATAATCCCTAAACCCTAAATAGTAGCTTCCATCTTCTTTTCCATTATTCCTATAAAGCCCTATATTATACCATTATATTCCCTGAATAATATATTCCCATATTCCCTCCTAAGCCCCTATAAGCATCTTCGGAGTTTTGACCAGGCATCATCTTGATGGAAGACTTCCCTAAGAGCTACACTGCAGCCTGAACTCTTCACCCACAGTTAAGAAGAAGATCTGGTGCAAGCCCTGTGTCAGAACGCATTCTCAGTTTAATTCTCTTATCCATGCTCTGCTGCAAGTTGGTCGTCATGGGATGGTTGTTGCAAGGTCATGTTCAGGCCTGGGCTAGAATAGGGTACTGCCGAGAAACACTTCTGGTATCTACTCCGATAGGCTCCATGCTGAAAACCTTAATTTGTTACCAAACGCATCTCAAGCCCAAAGCCCCAAAAAGTTTCAAGCCCCCAAATTTTGAGCCTCACGTGAAGGTTCAGGAGAGTGCATGAAGGGCCCTGAAACAGGTAAACCACATAATCGTGCGTTGGGTTTTCTGGCACTTTCTTCTTTCGAGTTCTATCTGTCAGGAGAATTAGCGTTCTTTGCACGCGTGGGTGTCCTTGACGACTGCCTATATACTACCCAACGATGATCTTTATATTCTGCTCTCCATTCCCCCTTATCACTCACCAGCTTAGCTTCAGTTCCATTTCCATTTAGCCTGTTCTGGCCGCCAGGTGAAGAGAGTGCAGCTGGAACAGCCGTACATTCAGAGGACGAAAGGCTCCTGCGGTTCAGAGGCCCCCTTGCTTTCCCTGGTGAGATTGTTAGGGTCTGTGGATGGTCTAGTGTGCAGGGATGAGGGGTGCTGCGGAATTACCAGAGGAATAGAGGCTTGGTACTGCCCCGCCACTCAGTAACAGTTAGACTTAGTTTTACTTTATTTACGGCAAGCTAGAGGTGGGATTGCATGACAGCATAGGGGTTTTGATGCAGGGGCTTCTCAATCATAGCAGCGTGCACTAGGGTGTTTTGTTTGGCATGTCCGCTCTCAGGTGTAAGTCTCGGGGGCCGGGCTTACTGGCGAGGTGTCTGGAAGTTTGGCTTCATTTTCGACTCGGTTTAAGTTCTTGGATGGAATATGATGTTTATGCATGTTTTTCGGGTTTTAAGGAGTCCTTAAGCCTGGGTGAGAAGCGCCAACAGCGGATGTCGTCTTTTAATGTGGGGAGAATCGATTCCTCACATGGTACGTTGTCAAACATATGGTCCCTTGTGGGTATCCTAAATATGCGGGGCCGTAGAATAGCTTGGACCCAAGGAAGGGACCACAGTTTTTCGCAACCTACTATATGAGGGTCCTAAAGTGTAGTACATATGCGCAAGACTGTCAGGAGATTATCTCCGGCCGCCGGTCTCTCGAGGACATTAGGGGCTTGCTCTCTAGTGAGATTTGTTGCAATCTTCTGTGGGTCTTGACTTTACAGTATTCTCCAAAGCTTGTTGTCCCTGCGGTGGCTGGCGCACGAACCTTCAAGTCATAGTTGCAGTACTAGAGAGTCTGGCTTCGAAATCTCTTGCGTTTCGTCATGGGGCTTCCGCAGATGAAGGCTACTAGCATTGATCCCAATATGCCATGATCCTTACTATGAGTACCCCCCAAAAAGGCTATCCTAATCTTTGAAATTCCCAGTACTCGGTACAGCTGCTTTGCATGACAGCCGACCCTGTGGAAACGTTTTGTCGCTGCTCCGCCCCAATCTTTACAGGAGGTTGTGCAGATGCTCGACAAAGGTTCCACAACTGTGCCTTCCTCGGGATTTGGGGCAGTTGAGATGGGCAGAGGATTTTGATAACCATGCGTGTTAAAATTGTGGGTCAGTCTGAATCGTACGCGGATGAGCCAAATCCCGCTAAGAAGTGCTTGGCATGGAGTAATGGAGTGAGCGCATAACCACTCCATGATCATCTGGCCGTTCCAGATAATATCCATGAAGTCCCTAAACCCTAAACCCTAAACCTGAACCCTAGTTCGGTTCAAAGCTGATGGGGTTGCCTCCCCCCTTCACTAGTTCATTTCACCCACTCACTCCCCCACATCGGGAGTCCTTGTCTTCAGAACGCAGCCTGACATGGGCAACGAGCTAGGTTGTTTTTCAGGAGCTTAACTCAAGTTGCTGTAATATGGGTAAAAAGTAAGTAATAAGGAAACCTAAACCCCTAAAACTTACGCCCTAAACCCTAAAGCGCGTGAGTATAGTACTTTCAGCAGCAACCCAGTGAGGTGTGGATCCTGTGCCCCTGCACATTCACTCCGCCGGTGAGCCAGAGAAACAGCCTCCTCAGCTGCCAGGTGGGACCCTCAGGCTGCTTCTTGAGGGTTCAGGATTTTGGGTTTAGAGCTTTTTGGGTTTATGGCTTTGGGGCTTTGGGTTTAGGGTCTTGGGTTTAGGGTCTTGGGTTTAAGGTTCTGGGTTTAGGGTTTGGAGTTTAGGGTTCAGGGGTAGGGGTTTAGGGTTTGGAAGTTTTTTTGTTCGAAAATCTTGCGGAACATGAGATGGGCATTGGGGCCCTATGGGGTTTTAAGGATCGAAGTAGATGATGGGTTTTCCCCCAGAATGGCAACTTAAGTTCATTTGCAGCAAGCAAGTCCTTCCTGGGAGTTTCCATTGGGGACGTCTTCTGTAACAAGGGTGTCAGTGATGGATGCAGCATCCTTCACTGATGACATGTCCATGTGTGGTGGCAGCCTTTTTTGAACTGGGCTTGTTAAAGAGGCGCCAATGGATTCAGCACATTCTTGCATGATTGGCAAGAGCTTCTTCCTCTTAGCAAAAAAATCTCTGAAGATCTTGGCTTCTGCTTCTTCTGGGAGTTGATGTTATGTAGGAGAGCTGTTGTCTTCATGATTCGTGATGGCTCAGAAAATCCTGCTCCCATCGCATAGCGTCTAGGTTAAGAGAGTTGCCTCCAAAATGCGCACATGTTATTCCTGCAGACCCTTCCCAAGACCCGAACCTACCCCCAAAGGCCCGGTACCGTTCCTGTAAATCCCCACTTCATTACTTTATCAATCGTGAGCTTTAAAGGCCCTGGACCCTAAACACGCAAAACTGCACGCCATGAACCCAAAGCTCTGAAGCCTTATCCCTGAACCCTGAACCCTTAACTCATTTCACTGTTCACTTTTATTCTCCACTATTATATAGTATTTTCTCCATTTTTCTTTCCAGTTTGCTATGGGCCCCTGTACAACCCTCATTTAGCCCTAGTTTCCATCTCAGCTTTCAAGAATCCCTAAACCCTAAACCCTTAAACCCTAAACCCTAAACCCTTAAACCCCGATCTTCAGTATGGTGCCTACATCGGCCTCATCAGCAACGGCAGGGAGTTCAGCGACGGCTCAAAGCTGAGCCTTGGCGTCAGGAGGAGGTTAGAAAAGAAAAAGGGTTTAGGGTTTATATCGGGGTTATATTGGGATAATGGAAAAAGAAATGGAAACTAGGGGTTATATAGGGGTTAATGGGTATAATATTGGGGTTATATTGGAATAATGGGGCAGAAAATGGAAACTACTATACTATATAGGGGTCATATAGAGGTTCATGGGTATAGTACTGGGGTTATATTGGGATAATGGAAAAGAAAATGGAAACTACAAGGAATGTAGGGGTCATATAGGGATTATAGGGTTATATTGGGGTTATCTTGAGATAATGGAAAATAAAATGGAAACTACTGTTTAGGGTTTGGGTATAGGGATTTAGGGTTTAGGGGTTCAGGGAGTTTGGGTTCAGGCTTTTAGGGCTTTTGAGGGTTTCAGGGTTTCAGGGGTTGAGGATCTAGGGCTTTGGGTCTGAAATTTAGACAAGAACTTGAGGGTTTCAGGGTGCAGGGTTTGACAGGTGTAGGATCATTGATGGCAACAATCCCAGGAGCCTGCAGTATGTAGACGTGTGTTTAAGAACCCACTCTGAGATTACTCTTCACAATCTTTGTGGGAGTCTCGTAGAATGTTCCAAACACCACTAAACGCAAAACTCACAAGTTCCCAAACCCTAAGACCTCAAACCCTAAACCCGAAACTGCGTAGTGAATCCTGATGCCTGAATGCCTGAATCCTTGAAGTCCTAAATCTCCTGTTCTAGATCCTAGGCCTGCAAGGCTACATGTAGGCGTGCCTATCCATGGCTTTTTGGTAAGTGTGTGAGGCTACATGCCAAACACATGCGAAACCTGTTTGCTTGTGCCTGCAGAACTTGCAGCGACCAGCCTTTGGGTTGGGTGGGTGGCAACTGTTGACTGGAATTCACAGCTGTTGTCTGGCTGCTTGTCTGCTTTCTTTCGCGTCTGTGTGCGGGCACCTACTGCGCGAGCTCTGGCCCCGTGATCGAAAAAGGGAACTGAAGTACCAAGACTCGAGGGCGACCTGCGTGGTTGATGCTGCGTCTGAAGGTCATCTGAAGTTCTGCCAGTTCTGCCGTAGGGCTGCGTGTGTGTGTCACTCTTCAAGCCGACGTGGGAACTACTACCACGTGACCATACACTGGAATTGCTTGCGCTGACACCTGCCAGTTCCGCAGGGCCTTTGCCGATCATGTATGTCAACTTACTGGACTTGCCAGACGAAGAAGCAGCGATAGTAACAGCTCAGAACTTCAAGATCCATCATGTCACTTGTCCAACTTTGACTGGGGAGCAAAGCCTTGCGCGATATACTGTGGCAGCCATCTGGAAATGGGTAGAGGTGATCCTGATTAACCCTCCGGCCTCCGATCCGGGGAGGAAGGTTAACAAGTTGGGCCCCTTGAGCGCGACTCTGCAGTCAGTTTTGGTAGATGTGTTTGCAGGGAAGCTTGCTGGAACCTTGCATGGTCGCGTCGGGCCTATGCTACGATACGCTGTCTGGTGCAACAAAGAGGGAATTTCCCATTTCCCTGTGGAGGAAAGAGTAGCGTACGCCTTTGGTCAAAGCGCACGAGGAGTCCACTGCGCCGACTTTTCTTCCAAGCTTCCTTGTTAGTCTGTCCTTCATCCATCATTGATTGGACTTGCTGGGGCACAGGATGCGGCCTTAAGCGCGCGTGTGGTCGGTGCGGCGGGGCATGCTTCTTTCTAGCGCAAAAGAAACAAGTTGCAGAAACCTCCCCTGACAGTGGCAGTGTTGGCTGACCTTGAGCACTTCGTGGCTGAGGTCGCAGTAGGCTTCTTCCTGTTGTGCGTGTACAGAAAGGGGGTCGTTACAGCGATTGTTTGAGACTGCAGGGCCTTGTCGTAGACACGCCTGATGCTTCAGCCCGACCCTTAGCAGGCTACATCAGTATCGCGTTGTAAAAAGGTCTATTCTGCCTATTCTGCCTATACAATTGAACGTTAGATGCCGCTGCTTCCCACGGTCTCGCCTCAGCATGGTGTTTTTGCTTTGGACTGGTGCCCTGCCTTGCTGCGTGTGCGAAAGATGGCGAAGGTGCCGGAAGGGCCTGGCTTGCCTTTGCTTTTGCGCTAAGCGCTGGTGGATGGCAGTGTGTGCCCCCAACCGCAGCTAGCTGCAAAATGGCTCTGCAGCGTTCTGGTAGGCGAGGGACATGACAGCAGACTTGTCGCGCGAGTGCGCACCCACTCCTGCAAAGGCCATTGCGCTGTCGTGGCTTAGCAAGGCTGGCATTGATCTTCCAACGCATCGCCTTCCTTGGGTCTCATACGAAGCAGATGAGAAGACCGCTCTAGTTTACTCCATGGATGCCATGCCGGGCCCTATCCGGTTTCTGGAGGAAGTCATCTTGCAAAATCCACAACAAGACCTTCTTGCCTGATGCAACGCTCGGGATACTTTCCAGCAGATGAGCCGTCTGACTGTGAAGATTCAGCTGATGGGGAGGACAACTAGGAGGACCAGGAAATGCTTGATTCTGCGCAGGCTGAAATCGTGGGCGACTGGAAACATTTCCAGGAGCCCGCCGAGACGAAAAAGACTGGCGCTGCGCTGTACCGGAACAAGTGGCAGGTGCCAACAAAGCCAAGTTTAGGCGTGGGAGAGTAGTTTTGATGAGCTGCTGTAAGTTCAAGGACCTGCCAAAGTTCGCCTGTGCAAGAGTTGCTTCCACTCTTGAGGCGAACCCACGTTCTCGATACAAGTCTATCAAAGAGCCCGTAGGAGCAGGGATCAGGAGACTGGTCAAACAAATGAGGGCCGATTGGCCGCTGTTTTGCAAGAAAGGCCGAATGGCCAATAGCCTGCGTTGTGGTCGGGACTGTGTCCCCATATGTGAAGCAAGTGTTCTCGTGCTCACGGCATTCATTGATCAAAAATTCTGTTTTTGAAGAACTCAATCTCATGCCATATGGGAGTGCCTCTTCCTCAATAGCGTGCAGCGTTTGCTCTAACTGCGTTGTAGTCAGCCCCAATAGGAGCGTATCATCGGCATATTCCAGATCAAAAGTAAGGTGATGTACGGACCATGTGTTAGTAAGGGTGCCTTGCCTACTGAGCCTGGAGTCTACGTCATTTAGAATGACCGTGAGGACCATAATAAAGAGATATGGACTTAATGGACATCCTGGTCTAATACACGCGGAAACTTCTCCCTTAGCGATTTTGCCGTTGAGGCCTTTAATTTCAAATGTAAGATCGGAGTAAATGGATTGGATTAGGTTTAACCTGCGTGCGTAGTTGAAAACCAATACTCAGCACAGCCCACTCGGGCAGCTTCAGCTCTTGAAGCACAAGCAGGGCTACCTGGCCATGCTAAGTATCTAGGGTCGATGGTTTCATGGAACATGCCATTCCGGACGGCATTCAGGCATAAATGTGCTCTAGCTGAAGAAGCTTACAAGAAATTGAGGCTCGTTGGGAGTAGCTCGTTCCCCAGAAGATTCAAACTTAAAAATTTCCCATCAGTATTCCCAGCAGTATTTGCTTACGGGCTAGAAGCTTTCACACTAACCGACGGACATCTTTCACAAAGTGATGCTTTCTACTACAGATTCCTAAGGAGAATCCCGGGGTATTAAAGCCTTCTATTCCAGGGTCCCTAACACGGAAGTGTATGCTCAGACAGGCAGGTCAAAACGCCCATCGGAGACACTCCAAGATGCCCAATACAAGATGATGTATGAGGTTTACCCACAAGAAGATCCTTTACACAATGTCGTCTTTGATTCATGCCATACGGACCACATCACACAGAAAGGTAACCGCAGAGGTAGAAGTATCCCGTACTGGCTCATAGTTACACCCCAGCGTTACTACCCACAACTTTGGCACAACGACCAGAACGCCAATCCGAAGTGGAAACACTTGTTTATGTCCATAGCTCGCTCATTTGTGGAAAAGCGCAAAGCAAGCGCAGTTGTCGCGCGGCAGTCGCGCGCATGGCACTAGCAAAAAACGTACGTAGGTTTTGTATTTCGTGCTGTGGGGATCGTGTGTGTTTGTTTTGGTTTGCACTGTTGGTTGCTCTGCATCGTGTGATTGCCCTGCTACAAGCGCTAGACTTGTATTGCGTGCAACGTGGCTTCCTGAACAAGGCCGAGCGGCCAAGGACAGTGAGCAGGCAAGGAGAATTGACGTTTTGCGCTTCTGACATGAAGCTGCCCTTGCGGGCTCATGTGTGTGACACAGCTCGTTTTGTTTCGTTTATGTGTTTTTTTCTTGTGTTGGAGCTGTTCTGGAGTGCGCGAAACCATTGACCTGATTGTTGAATGTGTTACGCGTGCTTGCCTTTGCATATGACATCGTTGGTAAGTTTTGCGCAGGCTCTTGTTTCAAGCATCGATGGGTAGTTAGTGTAGGTCTTGTCCTTGGAAGTGCGACGAAAAGTCATGTCCGTCATCGACAGCATTCCCAATTTTCATATGCCCCCATAATTACAACCCAGTATATATTTTTAAGCCCTTAACCCTAAACCTAAACCTTAAAGCCCCGAACCCTAAACCCTAAACCTTAAAACCTTATGTATTAAACCCTAAGCCCGAAAACCCTAAGGCTAAACCCTAAACCCGACACCCTAAATCTCAAACTTTAGGCTCTAAAGCCTACGTCCCAAACCCTAAGCCTTAAACCCCAAGCCCTCCACCCTAAACCTTAAGCACCAAACCCCTAACCCTTAATCCTAAACCTTTGCATGCTACACCACCCTCCCCAAGGTTTCTGGCCAAGCCTGCAGGTGTACGGGGCGCACACATGCCGCGGCTTAGAGGATGCAAGTGTTTTTGAATTTGGGGTTTTGGGTTTTGGGTTCAGAACTTGGGATTTGGGGTTCAGAATTTGGGGTTTCGGATTTCGCGTTCAAGGCGAGGGGTGTTGAAAAAGCTGCCACTTTATTTTAAATGACAATTGCATTTCTTGTTTGAGATCTTCTCCCTTGTTCGGAAGAGGCTATGACGTGCATTCCCCGCCCTGAAGCCAATAGCACTGGGCACCCCTCAACGATGATCCTTGCCCCTACTCTGCTGCTGCTACGGCTACTACTCCTACGAGTACTGCTGCTACTAGGTCACTTGGGTGTTGTGCGGGCTTTAGAGCAAGTTATCATTAAAACAATGTTTGCCATAAGGTTTTCCAACTAGCAAGATCCGCTAGTATTTAGAGGTGTTTGTGGCCTTGTGTTTTTGTTTGACGTCATTGACGGGTGGTTCGGCTTATAAGAAGTACCCTCAAATAGCTCAGCCAAACTACATCCCAGAGCATGTTCGTGCGACCAAATTGGAACTTTAGCGGGGCGGGAGAGAACATTGTCAAAGACATCTGAGGCGGTGGGTGTCGAGCGACGTGATATGCCAATTCTCCGTCAAGGAGGAGTTCCTTCGACAAACAAGAGTGATTGGTGACCACGCTTGACCAAAAAGGAGTTTGGGGTTGAGGGCCAAGTTTAGTGTTTTGAGAGCGAGTTGGCCCGTCGCAGTATTAGCAACAGTATTTGTGGCAGCAGCAGCAGCCATAGGAGTCGAGCGCTTAGGAGGAGATGTGGTAGTTGCATTTGTAGTGGTCGTGGTTCTCGTCTGTGCTGTCGCAGTGGTGCCAGTCGGCGTGGTTGTACCAGGAGGCAGTTTTGCTCGAATAGTTCCTCACAAAAACTGAGCATTCCTCAGGCGGTGCTTTTTCTCGGCTGGGCAATTTGCGGCGCCGTGCTTTCAACGAACAGCCCATCGTGTTGCAACGGATTCCTGCGACCCCTTGGCAGTCTTCACAACCGCAACCATACAATGGCATGAACCTTGCCGCCAGTTCTGCACATCTCTTGTTTCCAACATGAAAACCTCGCAGGGACGAGATTGGTAGTTTCAACAGTCACCTCAGAAGCTTTGGCCCTTCTTCCAGACCCCGGAGCATGAGGCAGCAAACCTAACATCACCACCCGAGGCCCTTGCTGCAAGCATGTCAGCATGATACCGCTTGTCATCTTACCGATAGTCAGTAGGGATCTCCTATAATGTAAGATATTCCCTTATTCCCTACTAAGCACCAGCAAGTCATGGATATTGAAGGTTCGCCCCATCGTCGGAGTGGCCATACCCCCAGGTGCCTCTGGGTCTAGTCTCTCAGGTGCAAGATAGATGTCAGCAATCCTGCGCTTAACAGGATTTGTACTGTTGAGTTTTGTAGTTTTTAGCACAATGTTTGAAGGTAAGTGGGGTATATGGGGGATCGGCACGATGATAGTTAGTCTCTCACATGTAAGGATAGGGTAGCGCATCCTTTTTTTAGGGTTTCATTCCATTTCACCCCGGCATCTACCGTTTTGGGTTGCATCTCTAGGCTTGCTGGCTGTTGACTAATGCACTATGAGGGGAGAGCTTTTTCATATTGTGGGCTTAAACTCTAAACCCTTACTATACCACGCTGCCATGTTTAGCATTGGGCTATCCTGAGGCCCGTTTCCTCCAGGTCTCTCGTCTGGGTCTGTTTTACAACCATAGAGGATGCATATGGGTTACTCTCACAATTGTGGGCCTCTTTTGGTTACAAATTGCAGCACCTAATGTCTAGGGTTACCGGAATTTTGGCAACTACCCGTATGCATGAAGTGTGATTGGCGCTGTGTATGCTTGTCGTGACCAAATCATGGACCCTGGGCCGCAAGCTGTCTGGAGCAATGTCAACTAGCTGGATGTGCAGAAGCCGTGTTCTTTGCCAGGGTCATGGATTTACCTTGGATGTCTAGGGTTGTACTCGGGATCGCTGCCAGCTCTGCGTTAGGATAGATGTCTGAACCCAGATTCCTGTTTAAGGTGCACTTTCTGACTACTTCAAAGTAGTTTGCAAGTCTGGTATTGAAGCACAACAGACATGCCTTGAGAGCACCCGTCATACGGACCCGTGATGTGTGAAAGACGGAAAAAGGAGCACTATTAGAGGGAAATCTGCCTCCACTTGAACCAAATCGTGTGAACCCTGCAGTCCCCCTACCAAGCAATGAGGGTCCGCACGCTACGCCCGCCTTTGGAAGCTGTTCCCTGCCTTAGCAGGAGTTCCTGTCGCTGAGCGTGGGGGATCTACTCCTGATTACTGACCGCGCGACTGGCAAATGGGAAGGAGCCTGCTGCAAGCACGCCTGAAATGTGATATGAAGACTTCTTTGTTTTCTCCATCTATCTATGCATCTATCTATCCTTTTACATGTTGTGAAGGCACCGAGAGCAATGAGCCGGAGAATTGCACATTCCTCATGACTATGCTCAAGCAAACGTGGTTCCTCTCGCATGGTTGATACTTCTGCAAAGGATGTTTTGCATGCAACAATAGTAACGATAATATGGCCGCGGCTTCAGAAAGCTATGTCCTGTTGTGCAGAAAAACACGCCTAAATAGTAGTTTCCGTTTTCTTTTTATTATCCCAGTATATCCCCAATATATCCCCAATATTACCCCGTCCAGTTTAAAGCACTGGAGGTGGCTTCCCAGTCGATGGCGCTTGATCAAGATACCCCTAAAACCCTAAACCCTGGACCCTGAACCCTAAAACCCTGACCCAAACCCACCCCATGCCTGAGCCTCCTCAAGTCACAATGCCGGCAACAACTTCAGAAGTACAGTTTCCATTTTCTTTTCCATTATCCCAGTATATCCCCAATATGTCCCCAATATTCTGTTCATCATCGAACATGAATGCTGTTGTCATGTAGTGCTGATGGTGGTAGCGGTGGCGGTGAAAGTGAATTCTAATGAGCTCATAGCGTGAAAGCATGTCGTTGTTGATGGTGTGCATTTGGTGATGAGGATGAGGGGGCACTATGATGCCACTGACAATATATACAATTAAGCAAGATTGTTTGCTATCAAAGACAGCAAGTCGTGTGAAGCAACGTCTTCCTCCGTACTCCGGTTCTTGTTGAGGTTCCAAAGCCCTGGCTTCTTTCCACAAATTTGGGCGTAATGAAGAGATTCTGGTAGCCCCAACCTCAAGTTCAGCATCCCATTGCCATCATATTACTATTTAGGGTTTCGGGTTTAGGGATTAGGTTTAGGGTCTAAACTCCTTGAAGAGGGTTTCATAAGGGGTTAAATAGGTTTTAGGGTTTAGGGCCTCAACCCTAAAACCCATTTAACCCTGACTAAGCCTATGTAACCCCCTGTTTAGGGTCTAAACTCCCCAAAGAGGGTTGTTTAGGGGATTTATAGGGGAGTATTATAGAAGTTATGAAGGGGGATGCTAGGAGATTAGACTATAGCTCGTAGAGCCCCATATACTTACCAAAGCGCGCAAAAAAAACCTTACACCCAAAGCAGGATGGGCTCGAGGAAGGCTGTGGAAGAGCCACGGCAGCCAGGCCATTGCCCTGTGGGGTTGAGGGACTCTTGGGTTACCATGGGGAACCCTCAATCCTTAAACCTTAAACCCTAGATCCTTCAACCCTAAACCCGAAACTCTGGGAGTTTGAGGGTATTCAGGGTGCAAGGTTTTGGGCTCGCAGACTTTCGGGTTGCGGTGGTTTGAGGTTTCGGTTGTAGGATTCAAGACTTCGGTGCTTCGAGGGGGTTGCTGTCATCAGGATCTGTTGGTTGCAGAGGGGAAGGTGGGCAACATGCACTGAAGATATGACTATTTGTTGTTAACTATGGAGTAGAATTCGATTGCACGGATATCTCGGAGGCATGGTGTAGAGATTCTGCGTTCCCTTGCAAAACTCGCAGAAGCCATAGATGTCCTACAGCAGGACCTTGGACAAGGACCGTCCTGTTTCTCTGATCGTTCGTGAGAAGTGGCTGAGGTTGACCCTGCCTTTGTGGGTGCGTTTGGGCTTGTGGGGTGAAAGAACGGACTTTTGAGCAGCTTCTTAGCCAGCTTTTGGCAAGTCGCCACGTGTAGAACTTGGCTGCACTTGGATGGGCAGACATGTTTTTGCTAAGGCGAGCCATCATCTGTGGACGGGAGACATACCCGGGGAAACGCAAGTCCCGTAACTCGCAGGAACTTGATCCCTGTAGCTCCCAACCCTGCGCCCCCGAAATGATGCGTGTCTGCTGCTGCATGCCTGTGAGTGATGCTTTTCTCAAAAAGATCGACGGCCATGCAAGAATGATGCATCTAGATTCGCAGTCGGCCTCATTATCAAACCCTGTTTGTGTTACATCCCATGGCATGTTCAAGGCATTTCTTAAACCGTAGCTGCGCGAAAGAGGATGCCATTGATAAGTTTGACTTGTCAAAAGGGGCGAGTAGCTTGCCTAAATTGTAATACTAATAGTGACAGTAGTAGTCGTAGTATTAGTTACAGTAGCAGCACAAGAACAGCTGTATTACAATCTATGGCAAACGTGAAAGTAACAGCTATAGCAACTGCTACGGTAAATGTGGGTTTAGGGTGTATATAGGTCCCACACCCTTTCCACTGCCCGAAGCTTCCCTGAAGTTCCCAAGGTCCACTGGTCACTTTTCCTTTGTAGGCATTACTATCGTTTTTATCCTTTGTAATGCAAGTACTCTTTTTTTGTATTTTTACGAGTTTTAGTACCACTGAGTACGGGTGTTATTTTCATCATTGCATACCTTCATGACCGTTTTCATTTGAAAAACTGATTCTGCTCATGTGCTTACTAGTTTTCTTTTGACTAGTTCTTCGACTATTGCGACAATTGCTATTATTATTTACATATTTAGTATAGCTCGCATTACTACTATCATTGCTTTTACTTTTATCGTCTGTCATCATTCATGTCAATTGTTGGTTGTTATTGGTATTTTTTCTATGATGGTTTCTGCTAATATTGTTAGCTGCAGTGTCATGGTACTCTCTAGTACTACTAGAATAGTATGATCGTTGCTATCTCTGTTTCCATCGAAGTCTTTACTACCCGGGGTTTGACCTTTAATGCTCCTGTTCACTTCTTCTGGTACTGAAATACTGGTGCTTTCATTATTATTGATCGTAACAGTATCATTATCATTGATACAAGTGCGGTTATTACTACTGTGGCTGGAGGAAATCTTGCACCGCTTTTA